AGTGGCTGCTCCCGGCCACCACAGCCTCGACCTGCTGGGCTCCCGCAATCCTTCCGCCTCAGCCTTCCAAGCAGTTGGAACTACAGGCACGCGCTACCACGCGCGACTAATTTCTTGATTTATTGTAGAGATGAGGTCTCGCTAAGTCACCCAGGCGGGTCTAGAACCCACGGGCTCAGGCAATCCACTCACCTCAGCCTCCCAAAGGTGCGGGATGACAGGCTGAGCCACCAAGCCCGGCTGACATATATTCTTAACAAACTCCCCTTTGAGAGGCAGAGCCTCGGTCTCACTCCCAACTCCGACACCGGTGGTCTCTGAGCCCACTTTCCCCCACCATACCCTACTCCCAGACTGTTATCAGCTCTGAGTTGGCACTTTGGATGGTTATGGGAAATCTTGGATCACCTGAGTCCAGCAGGTCGAGGCTGTGGTGGTCATGAGCATGCCACTGCACTCCAGCCTGGGTGACAGAGTGAGACTCCAACTCAAAAAATAATATGCATTGCTGAATACCAGCCCCATGTAATACCTGTTCGTTTTTGTTAGCAGAAGACACGGTAGGACAGAACTCCCCTCACCCACCCTGCCAAGATCAGACAGCCCTATTCTCCCCTGAAAAACTCAAGCTTGTTTGCCAACATCCCCGAAATAGGGCGGTTTCTAGTTTATGTGGTGCCCTTTGGGAAGCAAGTTACATGACCAGCAAGCGTTCCTCAGGTGGTCATCTTCAAGACAAAACAGGCCCAACTCCAGCCCACCACAACTCCATTCTTCTTGATTCACACTGGAGGCATCATGCCTAGATTGCTCCTTAACAAAACATCTTCAAATAATCCACGTCTTTGTGCTTTCTAGCGAAAATGTCCAAGTCAGAAGGACAGAACCCGAAAATAAACTCTAGTTTCCAATCCTCTCCCTGCAGTCTCTGCATCTCACGAAGCACTCCCCTCTGATGTGCCCACGTTCCTACTCCTTTCGTCCTCCATGAAGCAACCAGAAAGGACAGGTCGTTCCAAGGAAGTTTCCAGACAGCTCACCATCTGGGAAAAACCAAATGAAGTCATTGCTTTATGTCTTACTCTTCATACCAAAATAATCCGCAGCTGGAGTTCAAGATTAACTACAAATAAAACCATAAAACTACTAGAAGAAAAGAAAGGCAAGTAAAGTCTTTGTAATTTTGTATTGGAGAAGGAAAAGACAGAGTTGACTATATAAAAATAACTATCAAGTTAAATCAAGAACAAAATTAAGACAAATTAACTGATGAAAAACTCTGCAAAATATACAATAAAATTAATATATATTAATGTCTTTAAATGATAAGGGAGTTTTATAAACAAAGGAAAAGACTAACACCCAAGTAAGAAAAGACTAACCCCAACTCTAACAAAAACTGGGCAAAGTTCAGGCAGTTCACAAAAGAAATAGCAACGACCAACAGAAAGCAAAAAAAAATTTAACATCCTTTATAATCAAAGAAATGCTCATTGAAACAGGAATTATTTTATACCCATCAGCACCAAAAAAGACTAAAAGGACTGGGAAAAACCCCGCCAAGTTAAAAACAAGTCAAAAAAACAACTCTCCCCCGCACCCTGAAGCTGAATCCAAATGCAAAGGTGACAAGACCGAAGTGCTTTCCCAACACTCCCGAGGACCAGGCGAGACCACGCTGATGGACAGGCTGCACCGACATGGGCGCTGGGGAGATGCAAGCCCTTGTTCAGGAACAAATGCTTCTGTGGAATCCTCCCAGCTCTTCTGCCGTGCTCTGAGAGTCCTCCGTGAACAACCCAGGACCCAAGCCCAGAGGCACCAGCTCCTCCCGAGCCCGAGCCGCCCCTCCCAGACTCCGAAGACAGGGAAGGGGAAGTGGCCCTGACACACTTCAGGAGAGCAACATCCCAAGGCTCATCCTCACCGCCTCCCACAGGGACGGTTTCTCACCGCAGCCTCGACCGCTTGGCTCCCGCGGTCCTTCCCCCTCAGCCTTCCAAGTAGCCGGAATCACAGGCACGCGCTACCACGCCCGGCTGATTTTTTGATTTATTGTAGAGATGAGGTCTCGCTGGCCCAGGTGGGTCTCAAACCTGCGGGCTCAGGCAATCCACTCACCTCAGCCTCCCAAAGGCGCCGGCTCTACATGGTTTTTAATAGTGCATGAGATTCCATCATAAAGAGGCAGCTCCCCATCTACTCTCCTGTTGATGGACATTTAGTATTTCTCATTTTTTTCTATTCTAAAGGCGCTTTAGTGAACATCTTTGCTAATACATGTTTGTACACAGCCATGACTAGTTTTAGAGAAACCGCTGCACAGTTCTGATATATTGCCAAAATTCAGAGTATGGACCAATATACATTTCCACCAAGAGTGTATATGAGTGTTTGCCAATTAAACAATTTAAACAGCACAAAAGGGTATGTAATCAAAGTCCCTCCACCACAGTCCACCAACAGCTTCATGTGTGTCGCATCAGAGACAGTAAGCACAGGAAGAATATGCAGGGATGTGTGTGTGTGGATCAGTGGCTTTTTAAAAAAAATAATGACAGCAACACTATACACTCTTTTTCCACCCGACATAGTTCAGGCATGATACTTTATCGTTCTCTAAAAATCTGCCTCATTATTTTAAAACTATGCACATCCACTGAATAGATGTGATAATGATGGGCATTTAAGCTGTTTCCCATAGTTTGCTTGAATAAATATCCTTGAACACAATTCCTAATTCATGCCATCCATAAGACAGTTCTTGGAAGGAGAACGGCCAGGCCACACACAGACTCCTGTGGCGTGTGAGAGCATGCGCCTCCCACCACATCCCATCAGAGACTATTGTGAAATCATTCACCCCAGCCAATTATTGCAGGTGACAGCGCATGCTATGACAGCATCAATGGGTATTTCTCTTGTTGAAAACCTCTGAGAATGTTTCTCTTCTATGAACTGTTTATACCCTTGGTCCAGTTTCCTGTGAAGGTATCTTTTCCTCTTACAGAAGGAAAATGATTCTGGGGCAACTCACCAGCTGGCTTTTCAGGATCAAGTTCCTCACAGAACTTCCAGAAGTGATAGAAATCTTCAGGTAAAGGC